TTAATTCACAGGAATACAGTTAGTGACACTGATTTGGATTCGCCGTAGAAACGAGTATCCAAGAGAATGTCTAGAAAGAAATTTAGGGGTCATAAAGACGATATTTCAATTAGGATTTTATGAAAATCTCCACGAAAATAGAATATCAAAAAAAAGAAAAGTCAACACTCTTCAGGGAACGGCATTATGAGCAAAAAGACGACTGGATGAAGGTGATACTTTTAAGAGAAATTGCGACCAGACCAGAGAGGATCAGTTGGGAGGCAAGAGAATATGTCTACAGTAGCCTATTCAAATGAAGTAGAGAAATCACATTTGGTGGTTGTCATGCAATGGAATGTGATAGAAGAGCGAGATAAATGGTGGTAGCTATATCCATTTGGCCATTGGCGGATCAGTCAGTTCATAGACGTGGGCCATGAAGTAATGGCTTGACAACGAGTTGATTATCTACCGAATCGACTTAAATAATTTTTAAAATAGACGTAAATCTTTATGAACCATTTAATAAATCACCATCTATTATCGCTTTCTCCCTCTGTAATTTTGTCTAATTAATAAATGTTATAATTTGTGCAAAATAGATCTCAATTCTTTCTGTATTATGCAAAGATTATATTTTATTGTGAAAATGAGTCAGTTACTGCTGAATTATGTGCGATTTGAGGAGATTTAGCTCACCAAAATTTCGTATTTAATTTATAATTATACCTACACGTCTGAACAAAGTTTCTGGTCATTAGGTTTTCTGAAATCTCCTCATATTTTTTATAATCAAATGCTTCATTTAAGTATAAAAATGCTTTTCTTTAAAGTAGATTGCTTTGAGTCTGACCATCAACTTTCAGATGAATTTGAGCCATCACATTTGAGGGTTGTTATGCAATGGAATGTGATAGGAGAGCGAGAGAAACGGTGGTAGCCATGTCCATTTGGCCATTGTCAGATCAGTTTGCCCATTTCATGTCAATTGCGAATCCATACTTTTAGAGCATATTCGTTGAATATATTTAAT